ACAGCAGCAGCAGCAGCAACATCATCAGCATCAGCATCATTATCAGCATCATCATCATCATAAGCATCAGCATCAGCGTCAGCATCATGATCACTATCAGCATCAGCATCATCAACATCAACTTCAGCATCAGCAGCAGCATCATCAGCATCAGCAGCATCAGCATCAGCAGCATCAACATCAGCATCAACAGCATCATCAGCATAAGCATTAACAGCATGAGCAACAGCATCAGCATCATCAGCGCCATCATCAGCGTTAGTGTCATCATCAGCGTCATAAGCGTCTGCAGCATCAGCATCAGCATAAGATTCAAATGCATCAGCATCAGCATCAGCATCATCATTATCAACATCATCATCATCTTCAGCGTCAGCATCAGTATCAGCAGCACAATCATCAGCAGGATCAGCATCAGCAGTATCCTCATCATTAGCATAATCAACATTATCCTCAACGGCATCAGCAACATCAGCATCATCAGCGTCATCAGCGTCATCAGCATCATCAGCATCAACAGCATCATCAGCATCAGCATCATCAGCATCAGCATCAGCATCATCATCAGCATCAGCATCAGCATCAGCATCAGCATCAGCATCGGCATCAACAGGGTCATCTTCAGTATCATCAACGTCAGCAGCAGCAGCATCATCAGCGTCATCATCAGCATCATCAGCCTCAGCAGCATCATCAGCGTCGGTGTCATCATCAACGTTATCAGCAACAGCATCAGCATCAGCATCAGCATCAGCATCAGCATCAGCATTATCAGCATCATCATCATCATCATCTTCAGCGTCAGCATCAGTATCCGCACAACAATCAGCAGCAGGATCAGCATCAGCAGCATCCTCATCATTAGCATCATCAACATTTTCCTCAACAGCATCAACAACATCAGCATCATCAGCGTCATCAGTATCATTAGCATCACCAGCATCAACAGCATCAACAGAATCATCAGCATCAACATCAGTATCAGCAGCATCAGTATCAGCATCATCAGCATCAGCATCAGCATCATCAGCATCGGCACCAGCATCATCAGCATTAGCATCAGCAGATTCCACATAAAAATGAGCAGCATCAGCATCACCATCACCATCAGCAGCATCAGTGTCAGCATCAGCAGTGTCAGCATCAGCAGTATCAGCATTAGCATCAGCATCAGCAGTGTCAGCATCAGCTTCATCAGCGTCATCATAAACATCATAAGCGTCAGCATCAGCATCATCAACAGCATTTTTAGCATCATCAATGTTATCATTAGCTTCATCAGCATCATCAGCATCATCAGCATCATCAGCATCATCATCAGCGTCATGATCAGCGTCAGCAGCATCATCAGCATCAGCAACAGCATCAGCATTAGCATGAGTATCAGCATCTTCAGCGTCATCATCAGCATCATAAGCGTCATCATAAGCAACAGCATCATCAGCAGCATGATCATCAACATAAGAAGCATTACAATCCGCATCAGCAGCATCATCATCATCATCGTCATCATCAGCATCATCAGTGTCTTCAGCATCATCAGCAGCAGCATCATCAGCGTCATCAGCATCACCAGTGTTAGCAGCATCAGCAGCATCAGAAGCATCAGAAGCATCAAAAGTGTCCGCAGCAGCATCAGCATCAGCATCAGCATCAGCATCAGCATCAGCATTAGCATCAACATCAGCAGCATTAGCATCAGCATCAGCAACATCAGCATCAGCATTAGCAGAAAAAGCAGAAGCAGCAGCAGCATCAGCAGCAGCTTCAGCATCAGCAGCAGCATCAGCATCAGCAACATCAGCAGCATCATCAGCATCAGCATCAGCATCAGCATCAGCATCAGCATCATCATCATCAGCAGCATCAGCATCAACATCAGCATCATGATCACTATCAGCAACATCATCATCATCATCATCAACATCAACTTAGGCATCAGCAGCATCATCAGCATCATCAGCAGCATCAGCATCAGCATCAGCATCAGCAGCATCAACATCAGCATCAACAGCATTATCAGCATAAGCATTAGCAGCATCAGCAGCAGCAGCAGCA